GCCGGACTCCCGCGCTCGGGTCGCCGCGCGTCGCGGGGCCCTGGCGGAGGGAGGGGAGGTGGGCTGCCGCCCCCACCCCGCCCGCGTACTGACTTGCTGCTGCTTCCTGGGTCGGCCGCGTCCTCTCTTCTGAGGCGCCGGGGCGGCAGGTTGTCCCTGGGCTGAAGTGGACGGCTGCCCGGCGCCTTCACCGCGTGCGCTCATCCTGCCTCCCGCCGCCGCCGCCGCCGCCGCCGCTACCGCCGCCGCAGCCGCTTCGCCTCCGCCGCCCCAAATGTGCCCAGCACCTTTCGGGAGACCGCGCGGTAGGGCTGGTGAATGAGGCGGGGTGGGCGAGAGCTGGCGTGCTGCTCGGGCTGCTGCTGCTCAGGCTGCCGCCGCTGCCACCATCAACACCGGACGTCCAGCGGCTGCCAAAAAGAGAGAAGAGGGGAGGAGGAGAAGGAGGCGCTGCTGGTGGCGGCGGCAGCGGTGGGTGGGTGCCGGAGGTGGAGGTGGCGGTGGAGGTGGAGGTAGCGAGAGGAGGAGGAAAGCGAAGGAAAGGGAAAAGAGGGTTTGAAGTCGGGAGGCTCCCCTCTCGGTTTGGGATCGGGAGTTGCGGTCACCGGTAGCACTTCGGAAGCGGCTTGGAAATGGAAGAGACTTGGAGTGGATTGTGTCCCTTGAAATGTTAGGCGGGGAAAGAATTCCTCCTCCTCTTCCCCCCCGCTCCGCGCTCGCAGAGCAAGAAAGAGAAAGAGAGAGAGAAAACAAATAGCGCCTTGGGCAGTCAGAAAGCAAAAGGAGGATGGGGAGATTCGGCCGGGATCGGGTCGGGCACTGAGCGCAGGCAAAGGACGGAGCAGTGGGTGGCACCGCGCCTCCTCGGGTGGCGGGGGCAGGCGGCAGCGGCACCGGAGAGTCGGAGGGGGACGGGCTGCTCGCCCCTGCGTCCTGCACCAAGCGCGCGCTGCCCGGGCTGGAAGTTTTCTGAGTTCCTGCCCCGGGATTCAAGTGGGAAGAGAGAGAGAGAGAGAGAGAGAGAGAGAGTGAGTGAGTGTGTGTGTGTGTGTGTGTGTGTGTGCGCGCGCGCGCGCTTGGGGAGGGGGCGGCGGGATTGGGGGGGGAGTGCCCACCTCTAATCGTGGGCGGATAAAGGGGAGGGGGCTGCGCAGGAGGAATAGTACGAGGAGGAGGGAGGCCAGGCGGACCGCCGAGCCAAGGCGCCTGGCCGCGGGCCAGAGGCAGCGTTCGAAATACAACTGCCTCGGCGGCGGCGGCGCCCGGGTGCCACCCGAAGCCCCGCTCACGTGCTCCCGCCCGGCGGCGGGGTTAAAGGGACAGGCCGGGGATCCCGGGACCGCTCGCCGCCGGCCTCGTCCCGCCTGCCGCCCGAGGTCGCCCCTGGGCGGTTGTCCTAGTAAGGCACGGGAATGTGACCGCCCCAGAGCCGCGTTTAGGGGCTTGGCCTTTACCTGCACCTCCACGACGCGGAGCCAGCACTCGGCAGGAAGCGTGTAGCTGCACGCGCGGCAGCGTTCTAGTTCCCTGTGAGTGGGAAGGAACTGAGGAGGAGTAGGAACGGGCCCCCGGCAGCCTTGCTCTGCCTGGGAATACCCTCATCACAGATTGCACGACCCGAAACGCGCGCACACACAGACATGCACTCAGATCCACATATGCACACTCGCAGAGGCGCATACATCCATAAGCACGCACATAAGCACACACGCATGCATGCACATTCGCAGACACATGCACACGTGCAAACAATGTGCACACATGCACACGGAGCGCGCCAGCCTCTTCATTGAGCTTTTTTTCTCCGGGAAAGACCAGAGGCGAAGCAAGACTTCGGGCAAGACTTCATCCCCACCTCCGGGGTGTCGCTACGCACCCGTGTTCCAACGCAGGGCAGAAGGGTTGCCCCTGACGGGAACCCCATAGCTTCCCTAACACCAAAATTGCGCCAACTGTCAGCTTTCCCTGTAATTTACCCTGATTTAACCTTTTCCCTAGGAACTCCCTTTCTGCCAAGTCCTAATTTTATTGCTTGGGCTGTTTTCTGAGTTACGTGAACACTGTAATGACCACAGTCCGTTTAAAAAGGTGGAGTACATTTAAAAATGTACCTCTTTTCATCCTTGAATAACCAAAAAACTCCGAAAAAATTAGGTTCAGATTTTCACACATCACGCCCCAAATTATTTTGGACCAATTCCAAAATAAAAACTTTCACCCGAGGAACAAAAATTTTCTTCCCCAAAATACAGACCACCGTGGAATAAAGACGCTTGCTTTACAGCCCAAGCAGGGAGTTAGGCACAGCCAGGTTCCGCTGTGCCTGTGGAGGAGGCGCGTGTAAATGTCTGCTTCGGCGCGGCGGCGCTGATTGGTCCGCGTTGCCATTTTAAATCCATTTCCAGCTGCCCTTTGCAGAGCTGGGACACTTAGCTGCACGTTGAGTGCCCTGCAGAAACCCGGGGTTTCTCCTGGGTCTGGGAACGCTTAGCTGTGATGGAGAGGGAGAGCCTCCTTCCCTCCGGATGGAGCCCAGCAGTTGACTGGGGAGGGAGGGGTCTAACAGGAACCAAAGGTTTTCTGCCGGGGCTTGGCTGAAAGATGGTATCTTCATCAAAGGGATTGAAATTTCACGTACTAACGATTGCAGTGACATTTCCTAACTGCCAAGTTTGCACATTTTTTAATGTGCTCACATTCGCACTGTGGTGTGCTCATTTTACTTACACATACAAAACCGGCTTCTAGGTTTGTTTTTGTTTGCTTGCTTTTGCAAGGACCAGAGAGAAAATTCTGAGGATGAATGTAGGAGAAATCACCGAGGATTTCAGCCAGCTAGATTTATACTGGGTACATTGTATCCTCGGATATTTCTTTCATATGCACAGAGGCTGGCAAGAAGGGGATTCCAGAATTTGATTTTTGCATTAATCCTTGACTCTAAGAAAAGCACAAAAAAATTAGGGTGGGAGAATGTCCGGCCACTTGTTTTCAGCCCACCGTCACTTTGCTCTCAGACTATTTGACCCCTTTGAAATTTATAGCAAGGATATAAAACAAATATTGCATCCAATTTTACCTAAATCAGTTTTATATATTTTAATTCCTGGAAGCTATATTTAATTTTTTCAGGTTTTTGTTTATTTTCTGTCAGGAGAGACATTAAAATTTGTTTTCATCCTTGAAATTACTTGAGACTTTAAAAAATGGTGTCATATTCTTTTTATTAAGTTAAATGGTTATATTTTAAAGAATGGCTTTTTTTTTACATCTACATTTGAGGGTGTTTCCCCCCACCCCAGTTTAAGTTGCTCAATTGTTATCTCACCATATTTTACCCATCCATTCAAGGTTAAACACTTATTTCTAATTTGAAACCTTCCCAAGGTGGTTTCTGTCCCCACGAAACTATTTCTTTTCTTCTGCATCTACTATCAAACTGAACAATCAGCACTTTGGTTGTATATGTTAACTAGGTTTCTAATTATCTGTGATACATGATTTAGTGTTTGGATCAGGTCAGCTCATTAGTGGGTAGTAAAATCAATTCAGTGGACCCACCACGTCATTTAAAAAAAAGACTATAATAGATAATATCACAGGTAAAGTTCTGCTTTAGTTATATAGTACACGGATGTAAAAGTTGCATTCAGATGCTTTTTTTCCCCCACCTCTTTACTATTTTGGAAATTGGTATTTATCTCAGAGTTTGGGGTCTCTTGGCACTGTCTTATCACATCTTAGCCGGTATCCTTTCTATTTTAGTGATATATGCAATATGGATGGCACCATAGATCAGTAAAGATACGTAGTAAAGTCTCTTTCTTACTGTGGGTTGCAGTGTTACCTGTTTAAATGCCACTGACTTAGACAGTTATGAGAGCTGGATTCCTTCACAGCTCCACTAAGCCAGCTCTGCCATCTTTGGTAAATCATTTCTCCTCTTTGTAGCTCAGTGTCTTCATTTCTATAACGAAAGGTCAATATAATCTCTGAGGGTTCTTCCAGTTTTAACAGACTTCAAAACATGTATGATATCTTGTTCTCTAATTGGATTTTGTTTATATGTAACTGATATGTAGATTCTATGGAGACAGGTAGTATTTCTAACACCCCTTTTTAGCACCAATTAGGTGTAGGTAGTGTTCAGTTCATAATAGACTTTTGGCACTTAACTAATTTATTGCTATGACAAAGTTACTCTGAATAAGCTACTATTTTATAAATGTATCACAGGATGAGATAAGCATTACATGTATTAAAATACCTTAATAATTCTTTTGACTAAAGGGAGATGCATCTGTGATGAAGAGATGGAAGTTCTCACATTGCACTTTATCACATTATACTTATACTTTAATATGGACATAAATTAAGGAATAATTTAAGGAGTTTCTCAGATTATAACAGATTGAATTAATCATGGATGTATTCTACATGTAATTAAACAGGTTTATTATAACCAGATATTTTGAAAGTCAATCTATTTGGGGCGTCACAGAAAAAAATTATAACTAATATTTAGTGAACAGAATGCATAGTATACACACACATATACATATATATATGGTATATAGAAGCTCAGTATATAGTGCAAGGTAAACACATACTTCTGAAAAATATTTCCAATGTTTTGATATGGACTCTTTTGCACTGCTTAAACTCACAATTTTAGAGATTGTGTCTTTTGTAATATGCATAGTGTTTAATGAAATGTAGCAAAAATAATCTCTAAGACTTTCCCTACATTATCACCAAGAAAGAATACATACTGCCAAGTTAACATTTTGTTGGTGGGGTGGGAGGTGGGGAGGTGGACAGGCTTTCTAGTCCCATAGACAGAGGATCACCAAACAAAATGAATTTGTCTACTTGTTCATTCAGTCAGTCAACAAACATATATTGAGTTGGTTTTGCACTAATCTCACCCATTGTCCTCCCAGGACTCATGAAGTTCATTCATGTGGAACTGGAGAAAATCTCTTCTGAAACAGCTAGGTGCTCACTTAAAATGTATTTACCTATTATGTTAAGCCTTTCACTTACCCTTACAAATATTTATTCTCCTTTATCCAATCCATCATTCATTCAACAAATATTTATTAAGTAGCTAATATGTGCTAGGATTCACAGAACATTGTTTTTGACAAAAGTCATGGAAGCAGAACAGAAGTGGAATAGTTTTATTTCCATCTTTCATCTATTGACATTATACTGTCATCTCCAAACAATCTTGGTCTAGATATACTATCAAGTAACTTTGGAGAGCAGGAAGGATATGGACTTTTAAATCAGATTTAGGAATAGAAGGTGTGGCCTGCAGAATGTTAAAAATGACCCCTAAGACTTCCTTCATCCCTGGTGTACATGCTCACATAATCTATGGTGGCTTTTACTCCTATGATAAGGTTAATGTTCGATGGTACAGTTTACCTTAAGATAAAGAAATTATCCAGGTGAGCCTGACCTAATCATATGCGTGTTTTAAAGCAGAGCGTTATCTCTAGCTGATTTTAGGAGAGGAAGTTAGAGATTTGGGGCTCAAGAAGGATTTGACCCTCCATTGTCGGTTTGAACATGGAGATGACACATGGCAAGGAATGTAGATAGCCTCTAGGAGCTGAGGGCAGCCCCAGATTACCAGCCAGCAAGGAAACAGGGACCTCTTTAGTAGAACCACAAGGAACTGAATTCTGCCAAAGAGAATGAGCTTGGAAGTAGGATCTTCCCCAGAGCCTCCTGGTGAGAACTCAGCTAAGCCAACACCTTGATTTCAGCCTTGTGACACCCTCAGCAGAGAACCTAGTCATGTTATACCTGACTTCTGACCTACAAAACTGTAACCTAATAAATGAGTATTTTAATGGTGTTTAAAATCATTAAGTCTGTGCAACAATAGAGAACTTGATATAAGAGGATCTGGTCAGATAAACTTCCCCTCCTTTTTCTATCCCATGGACTACTTCCAAAGCACAATTACTCGTAGTTTGTCTG